ATATATATACGTGTATGTGTATAGTAAAAGGTAACGAATCCGTTGGTATATAATCCAAGGTATTCTAGTAATGTAAAATATTAAAACTGATCCACAAAAGAGCTCAATTTATTTATTATTACAGAGAAAATAATTAATAAATAATAAAATCAAACTCAACTCATATGGGGAATAGTCTATTTTGGCATATGAAGATATCGATCGTTTGTCTTATCAAACCCGGTATGGACTGAGTTCGTGTCAGAAACAGAATTTTAAAGTTAAAAAAAAATCAAAAAACGACATATATATATATATATATATATATATATATATATATATATGTGTGTGTGTGTGTGTGTGTGTGTGTGTGACTTACAACGTACTGCAAGGTTCCTTTTCGTGACCTCCTAAATCCAGCTTTCGTCTCTACTCGTCCTTTTTTTTTAAACTTATTCACTGTTCTCTCGATGGTTCTTAATAAACTTTGAAGATGGAAGCCAGATTATAAATGTTGGTATCATTACTGAGGGACTGAATGATCTTTTTCCTCTCACCATTGCTCCTCTGGGAAGACAGTGGGGCTGACAGAAAACGATTTTAATCTGTTCTCTGAATAACACAAATGTTTCTTTTAGTGATTCTTACGACAAATGGTGTCAAGGTGGCTAAACATCTTACCTGAAAACCTGGAAAAAAGAAACTCATTTAGTTACGTGTTTTTTGTTTTTTTAGATATTTTTGGATATGGACAAATATGCTGTAACACGATTTGGACAGTTTCGCTGTTACACCGGATATATTTTCATATATATACATATATATATATATATATATATATATATATATATATATATATATATATATGTGCATATACAGTAATATCACATAATGTATATTTAACAAGCATGAACTAATTTAAACATTTTTATCAAATTCAACCTAGAAGGCTTATCAATTCATAATTTTTTAATTTTTATAATACATTATTGCGCATTCGGATCAAAATTGTGGATAAACTTTTCCAGTAAATATTTTTTTATTTATTTTTCTTTGTGCATTTATAATGATTCTATATGCAATTTTAAATGTGTATCAAATATTTCAAATGCCGTGTAGCCAAGCGCAGTAAAGCCGTTCTACGCATGACGTCATTCATACGTTTTACGTCAATTAAACTGTAACACTCTAAAACTGCCAGGATACAGCTAAACAACTTACGATATTGTCGCTAACTGATAATGACCAATATGGTCGAATGTACTCAAACAAAAATTAAAAAAAAATATGAACTTCAACCAGTTAATTCAAATTTTGATCTGAATGCCTAAAAAAATGTGTTCAACTACTGGAAATGAAATAAAAAATTAAATAGAACTTGTTAGGCGAATTTAATATAAGTTGATGCAAAAATATTTATATAAAAATGGAATCGACCTTAGTTGGGATCTTCGTGTCAATGCGAACGATCCTTTTTTCGTATCAATGCGAACGACCCCTTTTCGTGTCATTGCGAACGATCCTTTTTCGTGTCAATGCGAACGATACTTGTCGTGTCATTTCGAACGATCCTTTTTCGTGTCAATGCGAACTATCCTTCTCGTGTCAATGCGAACGATCCTTTTCGTGTTATTGCGAACGACCCTTTTCGTGTCAATGCGAACGACCCTTTTCGTGTCAATGCGAACGATCCTTTTTTCGTGATCGATCAATGCGAACGACCCTTTTCGTGTCAATGCGATCGATCCTTTTCGTGTCATTGCGATCGACCCTTTTTCGTGTCAATGCGAACGATCCTTTTCGTGTCATTGCGAACGATTCTTTTCGTGTCAATGCGAACGACCCTTTTCGTGTCAATGCGAACGATCCTTTTCGTGTCAATGCGAGCGACCCTTTTCGTGTCAATGCGAACGATCCTTTTCGTGTCAATGCGAACGATCCTTTTCATGTTAATGTTTTTTTTTTTAGATATTTTTGGATATGGACAAACATGCTGTAACACGATTTGGACAGTTTCGCTGTTACACCGGGTATATTTTCATATATATATATATATTATATATGTATATATATATATATGTGTGTGTGTTTGTGTGTGTGCATATACAGTAATATCATATAATGTATATTTAACAAGCATGAACTAATTTAAACATTTTTATCAAATTCAACCAAGAAGGCTTATCAATTCATTATTTTTTAATTTTTATAATAAATTATTGCGCATTCGGATCAAAATTGTGGATAAACTTTTCCAGTAAATGTTTTTTTATTTATTTTTCTTTGTGCATTTATAATGATTCTATATGCAATTTTAAATGTGTATCAAATATTTCAAATGCCGTGTAGCCAAGCGCAGTAAAGCCGTTCTACGCATGACGTCATTCATACGTTTTACGTCAATTAAACTGTAACACTCTAAAACTGCCAGGATACAGCTAAACAACTTACGATATTGTCGCTAACTGATAATGACCAATATGGTCGAATGTACTCAAACAAAAATTAAAAAAAAATATGAACTTCAACCAGTTAATTCAAATTTTGATCTGAATGCACAAAAATGTGTTCAACTACTGGGGAAATGAAATAAAAAATTAAATAGAACTTGTTAGGCGAATTTAATATAAGTTGATGCAAAAATATTTATATAAAAAATGGAATCGACCTTAGTTGGGATCTTCGTGTCAATGCGAACGATCCTTTTCGTGTCAATGCGAACGACCCTTTTCGTGTCATTGCGAACGATCCTTTTCGTGTCAATGCGAACGATACTTGTCGTGTCATTCCGAACGATCCTTTTCGTGTCAATGCGAACTACCCTTCTCGTGTCAATGCGAACGATCCTTTTCGTGTTATTGCGAACGATCCTTTTCGTGTCAATGCGAACGACCCTTTTTGTGTCAATGCGAACGATCCTTTTCGTGTCAATGCGAACGATCCTTTTCGTGTCATCGCGATCGATCCTTTTCGTGTCAATGCGAACGACCCTTTTCGTGTCAATGCGAACGATCCTTTTCGTGTTATTGCGATCGATTCTTTTCGTGTCAATGCGAACGACCCTTTTCGTGTCAATGCGAACGATACTTTTCGTGTCAATGCGAACGATCCTTTTCGTGTCAATGCGAGCGACCCTTTTCGTGTCAATGCGAACGATCCTTTTCGTGTCAATGCGAACGATCCTTTTCATGTTAATGTTTTTTTTTTTAGATATTTTTGGATATGGACAAACATGCTGTAACACGATTTGGACAGTTTCGCTGTTACACCGGGTATATTTTCATATATATATATATATTATATGTATATATATATATATATGTGTGTGTGTGTTTGTGTGTGTGCATATACAGTAATATCATATAATGTATATTTAACAAGCATGAACTAATTTAAACATTTTATCAAATTCAACCAAGAAGGCTTATCAATTCATTATTTTTAATTTTTTATAATAAAATATTGCGCATTCGGATCAAAATTGTGGATAAACTTTTTTTCCAGTAAATGTTTTTTATTTATTTTTCTTTGTGCATTTATAATGATTCTATATGCAATTTTAAATGTGTATCAAATATTTCAAATGCCGTGTAGCCAAGCGCAGTAAAGCCGTTCTACGCATGACGTCATTCATACGTTTTACGTCAATTAAACTGTAACACTCTAAAACTGCCAGGATACAGCTAAACAACTTACGATATTGTCGCTAACTGATAATGACCAATATGGTCGAATGTACTCAAACAAAAATTAAAAAAAAATATGAACTTCAACCAGTTAATTCAAATTTTGATCTGAATGCACAAAAATGTGTTCAACTACTGAAATGAAATAAAAATTAAATAGAACTTGTTAGGCGAATTTAATATAAGTTGATGCAAAAATATTTATATAAAAAATGGAAACGACCTTAGTTGGGATCTTCGTGTCAATGCGAACGATCCTTTTCGTGTCAATGCGAACGACCCTTTTCGTGTCATTGCCATCGATCCTTTTCGTGTCAATGCGAACGATACTTGTCGTGTCATTCCGAACGATCCTTTTCGTGTCAATGCAAACTACCCTTCTCGTGTCAATGCGAACGATCCTTTTCGTGTTATTGCGAACGATCCTTTTCGTGTCAATGCGAACGACCCTTTTTGTGTCAATGCGAACGATCCTTTTCGTGTCATTGCGAACGATCCTTTTCGTGTCAATGCGAACGACCCTTTTCGTGGCAATGTGAACGATCCTTTTCGTGTTATAGCGAACGATCCTTTTCGTGTCAATGCGAACGATCCTTTTCATGTTAATTTTTTTTTTTTTTAGATATTTTTGGATATGGACACATATGCTGTAACACGATTTGGGCAGTTTCGCTGTTACACCGGGTATATTTTCATATATATATATATATATATATATATATATATATATATATATATATATGTGTGTGTGTGTGTGTGTGTGTGTGTGTGTGTGTGTGTGTGTGGATATACAATAATATCATATAATGTATATTTAAGAAGGCTTATCAATTCATTATTTTTTAATTTTTATAATAAATTATTGCGCATTCGGATCAAAATTGTGGATAAACTTTTCCAGTAAATGTTTTTTATTTATTTATTTTTCTTTGTGCATTTATAATGATTCTATATGCAATTTTAAATTTTTATCAAATATTTCAAACGCCGTGTAGCCAAGCGCAGTAAAGCCGTTCCTCGCATGACGTCATTCATACGTTTTACGTCAATTAAACTGTAACACTCTAAAACTGCCAGGATACAGCTAAACAACTTACGATATTGTCGCTAACTGATAATGACCAATATGGTCGAATGTACTCAAACAAAAATTAAAAAAAATATGAACTTCAACCAGTTAATTCAAATTTTGATCTGAATGCACAAAAATGTGTTCAACTACTGGGGAAATGAAATAAAAAATTAAATAGAACTTGTTAGGCGAATTTAATATAAGTTGATGCAAAAATATTTATATAAAAAATGGAATCGACCTTAGTTGGGATCTTCGTGTCAATGCGAACGATCCTTCCGTGTCAATGCGAACGACCCTTTTCGTTCATTGCGAACGATCCTTTTCGTGTCAATGCGAACAATGTCGTGAACGATCCTTTTCTTTTCCTTCTCGTGTCAATGCGAACGATCCTTTTTCTTTATTGCGAACGATCCTTTTCGTGTCAACGCGAACGACCCTTTTCGTGTCAATGCGAACGATCCTTTTCTTGTCAATGCGACGATCCTTTTCGTGTCATCGAACGATCCTTTTCGTGTCAATGCGAACGAACCCTTTTCGTGTCATTGAACAGACCTTTTCGTGTCAATGCGAACGACCCTTTTCGTGTCAATGCGAACGATCCTTATCGTGTCAATGCGAACGATCCTTTTCGTGTCATTGCGAACGAACCTTTTCGTGTCAATGCGAACGACCCTTTTCGTGTCAATGCGAACGATCCTTATCGTGTCAATGCGAACGATCCTTTTCGTGTCATTGCGAACGATCCTTTTCGTGTCATTGCGAACGATCCTTTTCATGTTCTTCCCGGCCTTCTTAAGGTGGTTGGAATGTCGAACTGAACCCTTTATTTCGCTCTTTGGGGTAGACTGTTCTAGTTCCACGTGCCATGTTTAATGGATTTCAGTTAACAGTTATCTCCTGAAGAAGGCCGGAGCGTGCAACGGCCGAAACGTTGTAATAAATATGACGACAAAGATGAGGCAATAGTCCGAATAATATAAATAGTGTAAGAAACGTTTGGTTCTTGATAATAACTGAGCTGGTTAAAAGGATTTGAACAAAGTAGAAGCAAAACATGTCCTTTGGCAGTTTATCCACAATTTTGATTTTGATTCGAATGTACGCAAATTAGAAAAATGAAATAAAATGTTTAACAAACCTCTCGATTGAATTTAACAAAATTTTATACATGACCATCATTATTTAGTTAATTTGGTCAATTTGTCATGGAAGTGACTTCTTGAAAATATCAGCCCATAGAGACAATCCCAGCATGCAGCATGATTGGGGAGTGTCTAAAAATAATATCACAGGTTAACTCAAGCCTTGAAAATTAAACTGTTTTGAAACTGTCATTGGTTGTGAAATCCCAAGTCATCGTGACCGAGGCGATGAACGTACTGACCTTGTTCCAAGTGTTGATCACGCCAGATTATGCGCTCTCCCCCAGAAACCGTAACTAAGGTCAGCTCAACATAGATTCAACAGAAAGAAAATACTGGTTAGATAAGTAACACATGTTTTTATGGTCGTTCAAGGAGTAAAGCTATTAGTCATCTTGCACTTTTAATTCGTATGCCCACTGTCTATATCTATCTACACATTATCTATTTTTTTCCTTTTAAACCAACGAAAAGAACGGTAGAATACAAAAAAAAATCGAGAAAAAGAAACTAAGACAAATAAAGCTAGCTAAATGAGATCTCTGTAAGATATAAGGTACCTGAATACGCAGGTTGGGTGGGGTTTGGTCTGAAGCTGAAAGCTATACTTCAACCAACGTCACTCAATCAGGGTTGAAAATGAAGTGAGCAATTTGAACCTTTGTTTGTTTATAGACACACATACTGACAATGTACAGTTTTCACAAAGTTTTGCTAGACAGAATTTTATATTTTCTCTGATTATTTATGTAACTCCTACTTAATTTAGTCGCTTTCTATCTGTTTATCTATCTCTCTCCCCCCTCTCTCTATCTATCTATCTATCTAAATGTTTACTTATCTTGCCTCTACTCCGGGTTCACGGGACTTGATAAAATTGAATTTATTTTCGGAAATCATATCTCTCTCTCTCTCGCTTTATATATATATATATATATATATATATATATATATATATATATATATATAAATTATCATCCACAGATAGACTGTTTCGGCTCATCAGTGTTGGTTGACGTCCGCTTGTCTCTAGCTAGGTTCGAAACCCGTCTGAAATATAATTCTGACTATATCTATCAATCACTTGCTGCTCGTATCTAGTTATCAATCTATCACTCTATGTCTATCAATCTCATTCTGTTCATATCTATCTATCTATCTATCTATCTATCTATCTATCTATCTATTAAGTTATCTACAAATAAAAACGTTAAGCTATAAACTCTGTAGATCGTGCTAATATTGCTGAAAGCACAATAATTAATTAATCATAGTTAAAGTAACAAAAATAATCCTGGGCGACTCTAAGATAAGAAAAACTACATCCCAAACCGTTGTAAAAGCAAATGGTAACTAATCTAATATCACTTCGCAGGTAATATAAGAAACTGTGGAGGGTCATGATCGTCTACGTTCTGAAGGTACATAACAAATATAATTATTTCACTGAGGTATTTATGAGTGGTAATGAAAAGACCTCAGTCTAACCTAAAATGGACTTCTCTCCGCTCAAAATGTTATTTGATCATATTTGGAGAGGTAGAACGGACCAAGAAACAAGTTCCCCCTTGAAAATAAGATCTCCATCATTTCACCAGAATGTAGTCACGATATTGACAACACCAAGTTCTTGATAATGACTGAGATTGCTGAAAGTACTTGAACAAAATATGAACCTTGGAAATTTTATCCACAATTTTGACGCCGATGTCCCACATAAAAAATAATAGGATAAAAATTTAATAAGAATGACCTTGTCAGTTGAATTAAAACAAAAAACAAAAAAAAACTGGTTTATATATAATTAAGTAATTAATCGAGTCTAGAAAAAACTTCAACAGAAAGCACTGGACGGCCGTTTCGTCCCGTACCATTTTTTGGGACTCATTATCAGTGCACACGCAATACCGAGAATTGAAACCCGCACATTTACAATATCAGACAAACGCAATACCAACTGTACCAACGGTCCTCGGCAACAAATTAAACTCGATATATATATATATATATATTAGTTTTAAAAGTGCTCGATACAACATAAGGCATAATATTTTGAAATCTTGTTCCTCTCTCCTTCTTAACTCTTAATTAAAATACCATTCTGCTGCTTTCAAAAGTATATCATTTTCATCAAAAGTTACCCAACCAGATTGATAATGGAACAGATTTAAGTTCGAAACAAAAAATTTCCTTGTCGCGGTGTAAAAATTTTTTTTTATAAATAATATATATATATATATATATATATATATATATATATATATATATATATATATATATATATATATATATCAGTCGTGCTCTTGGGGTCCTGTTCCGAGGTTATCTAAATACTTGAATGAGCATCGCTGCGGAACTGAGTGAGTTGCGGCGCTGTATCGAGTCTAGTTTATGTCTTCTTCGTCTCCGAGGCCCCGTGGTACAATTGGTATGACGTTTGCGTTGTATCGAATTGGTTTTCAGTATTGGATGCACTGCTGATGAGTCCCAGATAGGATGAAACGACCGTCCAGTCCAGTGCTTTTCTGCGTTCTGTTGGAGATTATTCTAGACTCGACATTATTCTCTCTCTCTCTCTCTCTCTCTCTCTCTCTCTCTCTCTCTATATATATATATATATATATATATATATATATATATATATATATATATCCATACAGGTTGTCCATAGAGTTCGTGTGCACTTTAAAAAATTTATAACTTTATTTGTATTTGCGATAGAAATAATCTGTAAAAAAGTTTAATGTACCTAGTTTTAAGTATAGTTAAAATAACTAATGTGATTTCAGGGATTACTGTAAATCAGTTGGCAAATGTTTTTTACAAATTATTTCTATCGTAAATACAAATAATTATAAATTTTAAAAGTCACAAAACCTACACACACACACACACACACACACACACACACACACACACACACACACACACACACATACACACACACACACACACGCACATCACTTTCTGTTCGTGTCTGTCAATCTCATTCTGTTCATATCTATCTATCTAAATGTGCAGTTATCTTATCTCTACTCTGGGTTCAAGAGACAAAATTTAATTTATTTTCAGAAATCATCTCTCTATCTCTCTATATATATATATATATATATATATTTCTGTAGTTTACTGCTACCAGCAAGCAGAAATATTTCTTCTCCTGATGATGGCCATTTTGGCCGAAACTAGTCGAGGAATCTAAATGAAATAATAATAAAAAAACGAAAAAAATATTAATCTACAACCCAGTGTGTCTGAAGATTTTAATTTTTAATATTTTTATTGTTCAATATATATATATATATATATATATATATATATATATATACAATTCTAATCTATCTATCTATCTATCTATCTATCTAAAGTTCACTGATCTCGTCTCTACTCTGTGTTTCATGGAATTATACTGTCTTCAGTACACTTGATAAAATTGAATCTATTTTCTAAAATAATCTCTCTCTCTTTATATATATATATATTCACGTATGTGAAACTTAGGTAGGCTTGCCTGTTTCTTTAGGTTCATAGTTAGATTTCCTCTACTTAGCGTATTGAGCACTTTACTTAGTTATTTTTGCTTTACTCGACTTTTTTTTTTCTTTGGACTCTGAGCTTGAATTCTGGACGATTGTTTTCGCCTCAATTACATGTTCTTAGTTCTTTCTTTTTTTATTTCTTATTTTTCCTCGGGTATTGGTTTGTTCATTTACAAGCCAAAACACCTAAAGTTTTTCAGACAGTATAATTACTTATATTATTATTATTATTATATATGTAGATAATTCTGATCAGTCAGGGCTTATATATATATATATATATATATATATATATATATATATATATATATAAAGAAATAAAGCCCCTCTTTATACTCATCTGCATCACTCTAACGCCACTGACTTCGCTGACATTCAGACGTTGAACTTCTTGGTTGCTCAATCTCTCACTCAAATAATAGACTTCCCCACGTGTTTCCCCCGGAACTCAGACGGACATGCTTCTCTAGTTGATCCCTTCCTTAATTGTTCACCGGATTCATGTCGTGCTCTGCAGCTCTTCCCTTGTCAACTCCGACAACGCGCTAATGTCTACAGATATTTCTTTCCGTCCTCTCATCAGGCAAGATCTCCTCTCAGAAAATCTTTTTTTTTAACAATGGATTGATTGGAACTCGTTTCGTGATTACCTTCATGACAGATATTTTTACTCAACCTGTTGATTTAAAATTTCGTAATGTTTTCCTCGTCCTTGACGCTGACTAACGGGACATTTCTTTTTTCAGATGCATGCATTTAATTTCATTTAATTTTCATTTAATATTTAATTTAAACCGTTTTTTTTTTTGTAATTTTAACCATTAATCTTGACTGCAAGTCAATATACACTTCATTTATTGTCATTTAAAGACTGCGTACAGTTTTTGGAACAGCGTGTATATATATACATACATACATACATACATATATATATATATATATATATATAATGATAATAATAATAATGAGTTCCTTAAAAATCCATTCGGTTATAATTTATTTCATTAATATACAAAGATATATTCATTTTTTCAAGCCGACGTTTTCTTAAAAAATAAATAAATAAAAAGAAAAATTTCAATATAAAGTTTTAATTTTTTTCTTTCTTCCTCTTTTAACGTTAAGACTTTTTTTCTTTTTTCCTCTCCCTTTTCCTTTCGTCTGGATTAATTGACTCCATTTATTAAGAAAACGTCGGTTTGATGAGATGAATATATTTTGGTATATTCATGAAATAAATTATAACCGAATGCACTCATCATTATTATATTGCTCTGTTCTTACATTGGCTCCCTTTGGTTTCTTTGGATTCATGTCCTCCTTGAAAAAATTATCCCTACTAATTATCAATATATATATATATATATATATATATATATATATATATATATATATATATAACTTTTTTGTTTTCGTATGTTTTGTTTTGGGACATAAAGTGTGTAAAAAACTGTTAAAATGCTTTATATATCCGAGCGGTTTCGGCTATTTTTTAGGCATTATCAAGGATGTCTTCTTTTGTTTTTTGTCATTCTACTGAATATAAAGATGTTTTTATTATTTACATTATTCGGACTATTGTCCTCATCTTTGTCGCCATATTTATTACAACGTTTCGGCCGTTGTACGCTCCGGCCTTCTTCAGGTGGATTTGGAATGTCGAACTGAACCCTTTAATTCGCTCACTGGGGCAGACTATTTCTAGTTCCGTGCCATGTTTTTTGATGGATGTCAGTTATCAGTTATCTCCTGTTAACTTCCCTGTGAAAGTTCCCACTGCCTTAACCGGTATTGAACTCACACTCTTTGGGTCCTGTCACTGGATCTAACCAACGCCTTTATCCACTGTGTCGTGTCTTCTTGAGGCGGTGGGAGGGGAATTAACAGGCGATAACTGATGCTGACATCCATTGGACATGGAACTAGAACAGTCTACCCCAGTGAGCGAAGTAAAGGGTTCAGTTCACCTGACAACTTTCCAGCAGAAAAAGACAGAACAACAAATCAAATAATAAATAATGTACATATACCACATCTCAGAAATATTGACAGACTCTAAAAGATGTTTATATATATATATTTATAGAATATTTTTTTATAGAATATTTATTTATTTTACAAAATCGGTTAGCTCCTTGTCACTGTCTTCATAGTTGATATTATTGAGTATTTCCTTTTTGTTTTTATCATTTCCCCTTTTTTACACGCGGATGAGGCTATTATACTCGTATTTTCTACAAGTATGTATATATGAATATGTAGAAAATACGATTGAAAATAAGACTAAAAATAATAGAAGCATTAATAATGAAAAAGAAAAAAAACAAAACTCAGTATTAACTATGAACACGGTCACAACGTGTTGGCCGTGTTTGGGCATATGGGTTGTGTGTATGTTTCTAGAGTTATATTCAGATGCCTTACGTTACACCTATCCGACCACAGCTCTATTAGAACACATTTAAACACACACACAAACTAGCTAGGCTCCATTCGAAACATACTAGTAGAAAATACAAACATAACCTAACCCACATGTAAAAAAAGATTAAAAATAATGGAAGCCTTAATATTAAAAAAGGAAAAGCCAATACTCAATAATATTAACTACGAACACGGCCACAATATGCTAATTGTGTTCGGAAAATAAAACTTCTCTATAAATCTAGATACATACACACGAGCCATACATCCAGTTAAAAACCAAAAATAAAATCATCCTTGATAATTTAACCATTATTTCTACCCACTCTGAGCCCAGAAAAGAAAACACTTGTTCGAATACAAGAAATATTTAATAAAAAGCTTAATCGTAGTACCTTGTCTGTCGTCTTTAACGAAACATGTATAAATGAAGGATTGCTTCTCAAATACACATTCTATCTATCTATCTATCTATCTATCTATCTATCTATATATATATATATATGTGTGTGTGTGTGTGTGTGTGCGTATTTATATATATATATATATATATATATATATATATATATATATATATATATGTATGTATGTATATTCCTTTTGAACTCTTATCTATCCAAATCTGCATACTAGCTTACAAAATTAAAAGAAAATACCCACATAACATTGCTAGTTACTATTATTTTGGTTACATACCTGTCGAATATTTGTCTTGAATTACAACACCGTCCATTTTTCTTCCTTCAAGTCAGCCATTTTGTCGTGACAGTCGCTAAAACACAGATTAACTTTTTCACTGGTCGTCTTTTTTAAAGGTGGGTTCCTTTCTTTCTGAACGTTTTTCTTTGATTTTTACACGAAATTTACTAACCATTTAAAGCGTAAAATAATTATTTTCTTCTTTTGTTTATGAAAAATATATATTCGATTAAGTGAGGCGTTTCTGTCCTTAGATGAGGTTGACGGTTATTCTTGAAAGGCCAGACGATTTGAGGAATTATATTCTGTTAAACAAAATTAAGGAAAATGAAATATGCGTAAATACAGAGGTGAATAAACAGATATTAATATATATCACTTGAAAATTATTATACATAATTATTTATCTTTATCTATGAAACTTATTACTCTTGTTTACCGAGATTGTATCTCAATGCTAGATGGTATAGTTATTAACGAAGTGCACATAGTGTAGATCGAATTCTCTAAAGAAAACAGAGGTCTGTGAAACTAGCCTATTAACCACGACGGTCAAATGCTTTAGATATTTACACAGAGCACATGGTGTGGATCGCGTTCACAACTGTAGTAATAGTTTTTGAGACTATTACGTGACGTGCCCCTTCAAGACATTGACGATCATGGCTCTTCACGATTTCCTGTTATCTGTAGCTTTTAATAATTTTTGTCTTTTTACCATCTCTCCCAAAACCCACTCGCTCAAGCTCGCCAGGTATGCTGGACGCTGATTTACCTCTAGCCTTCTTATGATACTGGCATATTAACAACTTGCCTTGAAAATCCGCTTTCGTAATCAATGCTTACTTGGACACAAACACTGGTCTCTGATAATAGAGAGATATAAATAGGTAGTCATTTCAGTTAAGATGAAAATCTCAAGATTATTATTATTATTATTATTATTATTATTATTATTATTATCAAAATTTTAACTACATAATGATCTGTGATTATCGGGAAAATGTCTTTTTTCCTCAGAGGTGCCACTGTGTCTTCAAATGTAATCCTGGTCTTTTATTGAAACGCCAAATCGAATTTTAAACACGATTAAGATAAGTAAAAGATATTTTAAGCACCATTAAAGAATGTGTCCGTGTGGTCGTCTTTTACATGAGTATGCACGAGAAATAGATCTGCATATGTCAAAAGTGCATAAGATTACATTTTTTTCTTTTTCTACCCGAACAGAATGTGCACTGCACGCTAAAAAGATGCGTGTACATTAAATTCGTATGAAGTACATTGTAAAAAAAAAAAAAAGACAGTAAATATTTAAGAAAATAACTGAACTTAGCGAGTATTTTCCATAGTTTTTTTTTTCTATTTACAAAAAATGTTTTTTTTAGAAAATAATTTTAAAATTATTCAAAACAGCGTTTTCTGGATATATATTTTTCTTCTATATTTGAAATTGTATATATTTATTTTTTATTTCAAATTTTGGTTTGATTTGGTTTGTTTTGTTTTACGGCATATCAACCTCAATGGGTTATTTAATGCCGACAACATTTTTAGGATAGGTTCGTATGAATAGAATATGTATTCTTTGGTTTAGATTGGTTTGGTTTGTTTTGTTTTGTTTTACGGCATATCAACCTCAATGGTTTATTTAATGTCGACAACATTTTAGGATAGGTTCGTATGAATAGAATATGTATTCTTTGTACGAAATCAGTTTGTAGATCAGGTTTCATTGACGTATTTTTGTAAAGAAGGTTATTGTCGAGAGTCAAATGTATTGCTGGTAATATATTTTGGTTCAAAAATGTATTCCAGGTAACATTCTTTTTTCTAAAATATATTGCTGGTAAAATATTTTTTTCAAAAATGTATTGCTGGTATTTTTACTATAATAATAATAATAATAATAATATATATATATATATGTGTGTGTGTGTGTGTGTGTGAATTTTTATACTTTCATAGTGCTTTGGCCGCAGTTTGAGGGTTAATTATTTGCTCATATTTGGGACCCAAACAGGTGCTACCACTCTGGGTCAGGGTGGACCTGGGAACACCAGCAATTAAGAGGTGGTTCCACGCTCCTCAAAACCTCCCGTTCAGTTTATCGTCATACCCAGGACGTTCAAATTTTGGCGCTTCTCAAGAAAAATAATCTTTCGAAGAGTTGTTCAAGTATAAGAGAGGAATAATTTTGCCCTGAATTAACTTCTTCTTCTTCTTCTTCTTCTTCTTCTTCTTCTTCTTCTTCTTCCGCCGTACCCTCTCAGGGCGTAGGCGATCATGGCTCTCCACAATTTCCTGTCCTTTGTAGCTCTTAATAAATATTATCTTTTTATTATTTCTCCCAAACTCTGTTCTGCCATCCATTCAGCCAACATGACTAAGTATGACATGCGTTGTTTTTCTCTTGCCTTCAATCTGTCTTGTGAGTATCAAATTTTCCAAGCCCTCTTTCATTATGTATCCTCGAAATTTCGACTCTCTCTTCTTGGTGTTATGTGTAAGTTTAATTTTTGTTTCCATTTTCTCTTGAACTTTGTCATTGCTCGCATATTCAGTCTATGGAATTCTCAGTATCCTTCTGTAGAACCACATTTCTGTTGCTTCAAGCGTATTTTTCATCACTGGGGAGATTGTCCTCCATTTCTTGTCACAGAGAAGGACAGATATCAAATAACAATTCACTACTGTTTTCTTTGTTAAACAAAATAAACATTCTTAAATACCAGAGGAAAAGTGATTACTGGTGTTATTTTTCTTAATTCAATTTAATTAGTTTAATTAATATATTCATATTTCACTCCGGATTATAATGACAACGCTTTACTGATCAACTCGTGAAATTTTTTGTAATTTTGCTCAGGTTAAGGAAAGACAGATTATATGAAGAAATATTTACGGTAAATATTTCTCGGTTTGTCTTGTTATGAATATTTTGAATAAGCATTTCTCTGTGTGTCTATCTTTATGTGTGAGTATGTGGGAGAGTGTATGAGGACAAGTGAGTTACTACATGCGTGTTCGTGTGTTTATAAATGTGTGTGTTTGTAAATGTATGCGTATGTGCATGGGCGCGTCGGTGAGCATGCGTGATTTCGGTGTGCTTGTGTACGGACGCATCAAAGCGTAAATTCAGAAGTTTTATAACTATTTCGCTCATTTCGCTGCATCTCTCTCTCTCTCTCTCTCTCTCTCTGTGTTAGAGTGGCCTATCAGACTATTCTTGAGTGCCTATCGAAGCTCTCCGAATCGGCTCTTCCATTTGTTTTGTTTTCCTCTTTGGTGTGTGTGTGTGTTTTTCGGTTTGTTTTTTTCTGAAAATGTTCTACTATCACACAAGTCGACTCAAATATAATTTCTTTTTTCAACTCATTCGCTTTGAATGTAACTAACTCGACGCGCGCACTGCAGGTAGGAAAGGTGATTGGGGGGGGGATGTCGAAAACGAAAATTTTCTTGGAATTATTTTGGAACAGAAATTTCTGAAACTGAATGGTAGTGTTCAACGAAATTTTTGCCAATTAATACGTTTTTCGTTGGAGCGTGACCCGGGAGAGATACGCGCACATCGCTCTCTCTCTCTCTCTTTGTCTTTCTCTCTCTCTCTCTCTCTTTGCCTTTCTCTCTATCTCTCTCCCTTTCTTCTCTTTCTATTTCAAACACGCACACACACGTGCGCCTACGACACACAGACACACACAAACAGGCACATATTATCTCATCTACTCACACAAATAACTACACTCCGATGACGGAAAAGTGACTCTCACTCAGTAATGAAACATCAAACACATGCTTCATCTTGCCCGGTGGTTAAGGTAGGTGCATAAGCATAAGCGTTTATATATATATATATATATATATATATATTATATATATATTATATTATTATATATATTATATATATATAAAGGTAATTGCATAAAGCGTGTATATATATATATATATATATATATATATATATATATATATATATATATATATATATATATATATATATATATATATATATATGTATGAATATAAAAGTGAACATTGAAGTCAACGCTCGGAGGCGACAGGCTGTTTCATGTTGTTTCTGGTGGCCTGACGATTGGGGCCACTTTTATATTTATATTTACATACGCTCTGTCACTGATATTGAGCACTTTATCCCATAAATATAGCACAGCTTAAAACTATAATTCTTATAATTACATATATATATATATATATATATATATATATATATATATATATATATATATATATATATATATATATATATATATATATATATAATTTTTATTATCAGTAAAAGCGCTAAAGTCGTCCATACCGACAAATCTGTCAACACAATATAATTCTCTTTATTAAAAAAAAAATTTCAAAAACAATATGTAATTTTCTGAAACTTTATATGACGATGATTAGCTGGTGTAAATTTTAATTAATCTCATTTGAATATTACTTTTTGTTTGAAATATCGCAGAATAGCATTTTAAAATAAGGACGTGGGTGTTTTTTTTTATGAGGTTTTGACACATTTTTGGATCTTGAATTGAATAGTAATAGCGATGGAAAGGGGTGGGGAAACCAACACGACTGCCATTCAATCGACAACGTGTAAGGAACCACGAAAGGAAATTAACAACAGCTTACAAGAGCCCCCTTGAAAATGGCCAAAAACGCTTGGAGCAATTTTACCCTCATTTACTCCACTAAATGGAAAAAATATTATATATATATATATATATATATATATATATATATATATATATATATATATATATAATTTATTTTAGGATATTACATGGAAAACATGTCAAAATCGCAATACAATTGCAGTCGTGTTTCGATGCGTATCAATGCATCTCATCAGGCGATTGTAAATTACCGGAGAGTGAACGATTTATTCGCAAATTACAGCTAGCTTTAAAGACAAAAAGCAAAAGAGGGGGAGTGGTTATAAGATTTGTGGGCTTTACTCAGGTCAACCAATCGAATATGCAATAGCGTGTGATTTTGACATATTTTTTCATGTAATATCCTAAAAAAATAAAAATATTGCTCTACTTTTGTATATTCTCATCTTACCCGGATATATATATATATATATATATATATATATATATATATATATATATATATATATATATATATATATATATATATATATATATATGTATATATATATATATATATATGTATGTATGCATATATATATATATATATATATATATATATATATATATATATATATATATATATATATAGATTGATAGATAGATAGATATTCATTGCTAAGTACATCACAAAGGCATATAAAGAATAATACATGTACGGAGATTACGCCTCTCCTTTATAGGGGAAATTCTTTTCTTTCTTTCTCTCTATCTCCTCCTCTCTCTCTCTACGTATATATATATATATATATATATATATATATATATATATATATTGATGTGTTTCTTCTATAAAGGAGAATACAGGTTAGAACCTTTTCTGGGGCACTTTTTCTTTATCAAGACTCTCGAACACATAGGTTGGTAGACGTAAATTTCACTGAAAAAACAAAACAAAAAAATCATGCATGTCTACTCAAACACTAAAATATTTTTAAAGTAATATATATTTAGTCACTAAATGTATCTCTCTCTCTCTCTCTCTCTCTCTCTCTCTCTCTCTGTATATATATATATATATATATATATATATATATATATATATATATATATATATATATATATATATATGTGTGTCTGTGTGTGTGTGTGTGTGTGCTTTAAAAATCACGAAATCAGTTGAATCCTCTACCTTGGTTTCAACCTTACGGTATCCTCAGCCGATTTTTTCATCTTCTTCTTCTCCTCCTCTCTTCTTCACATCCTCCTCCTCCTTTTCACACCCAACCCATTTTCTTTTCTTTCTTTTTTTTTATTTTAATTTGCTTTTTTTTCCTTTTATGGAATGAATAGTTTTTTTTTTAATATTTTATTTCTTTGCTTTCTGAGGAAATTTTCAAAAATGTAAAAAGAAGTGATGTTACATAATTTGTATTTTTAAATCGTTTATTACCACCATTGTTAGCTGCCTGACGAAACGTCTTTGGACTTCGAAAAACAAATATGCATTTTCTTGCAGTAACTTGCATGTTCCAATATAACAGTTCATTATATATATATATATATATATATATATATATATATATATATATATATATGTGTATATATATATATATATGTATATATATATATATGTATATATATATATATATATATATATATATATATATATATATATATATATATATATATATATATATATATATATATATATATATATATATATATATATATATATATATATATATATATATATATATATATACATATAATTGGCCACTCGTATTCAAGGATACCCGTCTACTAGGGAGTCTAGCCAATCCCTAGTGCAGACGCTCGATCAGGCACATTTTTGTGTTTACTCATCACCCACACACCCACAAAGCCCACCTGAGGTTTATATTGCAACTATGCTGAGCAGACCTTAGTTACAGTTTCTGGGAGAGAAGCGTGTTATCTAGCGTGATCAACAATCTGGACAAGGCCAGTACACTCAAACACTCGGTCACAGTGACTTCTGACTTATATATATATATATATATATATATATATATATATATATATATATACGTACAATGAGAGCTTTGGTGTGAAAGTAATGTTTACTGAGCTAATGGCCACTAGGCCGTTACTCCTGTTGGGTTTTCGACCTTTATAATCTGCCCTACGCTTATATCATTGCGCTAGACTGAGTCCAGTTCAAAAATACTCTTACAAACACACTGTATTAAGCATGTGTATCTACGTAAAGTTGATATGAACATGTCTTTATGTAAACATTTCGATGTCTTCTGTCAGTATTTATTCGCCTTATTCAATCAGTTTGAAGCATGTTCATGGTAGGAATGGTTTGGAACAACACTTAATTGCAGACTTGAAAATAAAATTAAAATAAACTGATATTTATTCGTCTCAAAAGAGGAGGATATATTGTTTCCCTTCCTTTTTGACTTGAACAAATACTTGAACGGAAACATTCAATATTTTCGTTAAAATTTGCTTTAAGCGCTTTATGCTTCAGGCTTTTAGTTTCCAGAAGATCTTCAATGACAGTCTCCTTCCAACGAACGCCACCTCCACCATTGCGTTTTCAGTACAAGAGTTACATTGTATATTTTTCGTCATTTTCTTGGGCCAAAGAAAAAAGCTAATTTTATGAATCCATTAAGATTTTAATCAGATTTTTTTTCTAACCAAGTATAAAATAGTTCAAACGCCATGCCAGTTTATACTCACATTTAATATTAGTAACACCAATTGTTCCTTTTTATTTTATTTTTAATTATTTCCCCCCATACAAGGTAATAATGACACTAAGACGCAAATGGTTACTGAGACTGAAAAAGAATGAGAAGACTTTAGCGAGGAGAAAGGACAATAAAAGAACAGGTTTCAGGAAGACAGAAGATGGTGATAATGCCACTAAGACGCAAAGAGGTTACAGAGATTTGAAAGAGAATGATAAGACTTTAGTGAGGAGAAAATAAAATAAAAGAACACATTTCAGGAAGACAGACGATGGTGATGCCACTAAGACACAAGGGGTTACTGGGAGTGAAGGAGAATGAGAAGACTTTAGTGAGATGAAAGGACAATAAAAGAACAGGATCCAAAGTGACAGTTGGCGATTGATGTTGCAATTATCTTTTGAAGATCATTGTTGACGGGATAAGAAGAAACCGGAAGTTGTCAGTGCTATGGAAATATTTGTAGAAAAGACAGAGGGCAGCCATGTCATGGCGGTGAGAAAGTGACTGAAGTCAAGATGTCAGATCAGGACAATAACATTAAAGAACATATTTGGATTTTATCGAGAATCTCAAGATATATAAGAGGAGCCCCAGGCCAGATATGGCAGAAATATTCAATATACGGACAAATGGTACATTTATAAATGTGTAAAATGGATTCTGACAAGAAAATTATCTAACACGACACAATTAACCATTTTTTTTTTAACTTAGATGTTACGTGGCGATGTCGTTGATGTCCAAGTGAACGGTCGTGATTTTTTTTTATCGCTCAAAGTATTTTAAAAGGGAATATTTGATTATTTTAATTATCTTTAGAATCTTTGTATTGTTCGTTGTTTATTATATTATAATTTTTGTTATGTTATTATGATTTTATAATCTTTAATTATTAAAATAAATATTTGTTTAATTTTTTAAGATAAGTCGTGGTATATATCGTTTATTTATTTTTAAAATAAGTGTTATTTAACAAGTTTAATTTATTAAGCATGTCTCACTAAGAATTATTATACTAAGAACATTCACTACACAGTATTTGTTAAATTACTTGTACATTGGCATGAATAATTCTACTGTATTTTATATTTCAGTGTAACATTTCTCTTTTTATGAATGAGGACTAACTTTCGAAATTCTAGGAAAGGCTTTACGAGTTGTAATGTTTAAATCTGAGTGTTCAGTATCGTCGGTTTCCTTCCCTATCATTTATTATTCAAACATTTTTAAACAAAATTTTCTTATTATTTTAATCTTTTATCCTTTATTATTTATTGACACTAAGTAACATTTTTGTTTGGACAAGAACATATTTTCAAATTTGTCGACAAAGCGTTTCGAATAATAAGGATTTTTTTTTATTGGTTCAGTAGTCAATTTTTTTAGAATTTCGGAATAGTCAATTATTAGAATTACGGAATAATCAATTTTTAGAATTTCAGAATAGTCAATTTTTTAGAATTTCGGAATAGTCAATTTTTAGAATTTCAGAATAGTCAATATTTTTGAATTTCGGAATAGTCAATTTTTAGAATTGCGGAATAGATAATTTCAACAACAAAAATAATAAAAAATAAATGTTCTCATTTATTATAAAGAAATACACTGCACCAAATTACCCGAATAAAAAAATCAAATTAATTATCTAGTATAAAAAATTTAAGACAGCTTACCTCAAAAATAACAACACACCAGTTAAGTCATAATTACAACGAACAAACATTATATATGAGTTCAAATGCCCCTTAAGAAACTGTGTTCCTGATCAAACCGAATTCATAAATAATTACATCGGTTACACAACCACATGCTTATCCAGACGCCTTACGTTACACCTACCTGATCACAGCTCCATTAGAACCCATTTAAACACACACACTAATTTACCAGACTCTATTAGAAACATACTAGTAGAAAACACAAACAGATTCTCATCCACTTGTGAAATAATTAAAAATAATGGAAGCCCTAATAATAAAAAAAAAAGCTAACACCTAACAATATTAAGTACGAACAAGGCCACAATGTGCTAACCGTGTTCGGAAAATAAAACATCTCTGTAACACTAAAAAACATACACATAACGCACACACTCAATTAAACTGAAAAATAAAATCATTCTTGATAATGGCTAAAAGTATAGCCAAAAGCGCTCGGAATTATAGAATATTTGGACAGTTTCTAATACACACTCTGTGTCCAAAAAAAAAGCTCTTGTTCGAACACAAGAAAAATTAAATAAGGAGCCTAATCGTATTACCTTGTCTGTCGTTTTTAATGAAAATATATATATATATATATATATATATATATATATATATATATATATATATATATAAAAATTCAAATAAATTATCTAACCGCAGGTATTATTTTCTCCGAAACTTGAAGTGTAAAGATGAGTTTTATTTTAATTTGTATAATATTAAGTCTCTTTTTTTACAATATCGATCACCTGATTGGAAAACTGTTTGCCTAAAATGCGTTATGCTCTAGTAATACGTTGTTTTCTTCTTTTTTGATGGGGTGGGGGCGAAACACTACAATTTCTTCTTATTATTGTTATTCTTTGGGTATGTGTTCATGTGTGCGTGTTATTTATTTTAGCACCCCAATATAAGTATAATATATCTGACGAATCCTCTTATATTCATCATATTAGTATTTTTGTCCTCTAATTTAAATAAATATTAAATCTTCCAGTTTTCTTTTTTCTTTTTCTTTTTTAATATCCTTTCAATACCCGTCTATGTGAATTTATACAGGAACGGATATTTTTTGTTATCATTATTATTATAAAAGATTTTTTTTTTTGAAAATGTCGGAAATCGATTGTACATTTGGATTCTAACTGCCAGTGTTTTTGTGAAAAAGCGACCTGTTGCGGATTGTACATCCGGAGACGTCTGTAGAAAAACGAAATTTTACTGTTCATATTTTTTTAGAGCTTAGTCAAAATTTATTAAAATGACATGGGCGGTTAAATAGTTTCTGCCATTTCCTTCAAAATGCTTCTCGAAATATATTCTTCCTTGTTTTACA